GCGGGGCGGGGCGGAATATTAGATAGACAGCCTCGATGCTGTGCCAGCACTGCTCAGCAGTAGCCAAAACACTGGTGTGTTATCAACACCTTTCTAGCTACTGATGCAGAGCACAGCACTAGGAGGGCTGCTATGGGGAGAATTAACTCCATCTCAGCCAGACCCAATACATATATGCACTTCAAAATCTACTGTTCCTTCCAAACTGTAACGGAAGAACTTTTATGTTGTTTTTCACTTTCTACCTTCATCTTCTCTTTGTTTATCCTTTCACTGTTAATTCACAGCTTCTTCCCCTTACTGGGTTAACCCCCTAAGTTTTAACATAAATGACAGCACAACTGTCAAAGTATTCATTTTAAAACCAGTGTTTATATTCCCTACATTTGTTCTGTGAAGAACTCAGCATACAGTAATCCTGACAGCCAATAAAAGTCAACAATTTGATTTTTGAAGCACCAGACTCACAAGTTTTCTTTTTAAATACTTAATTCAGTTTTGAATTGAAGAGTTCTTTTTTTTTTTTTTTTACACTATTCGATGTTACTCATTTATATGATTTTAATGTTTTACCTACAGTCTAAATTTGCTACCTTTTTGTCCTGGTTTCAGCTGGGATAGAGTTAACTGTCTTCCTAGTAGCTGGTGCAGTGCTACGTTTTGAGTTCAGTATGCGAAGAATGTTGATAACACTGATGTTTTCAGTTGTTGCTAAGTACTGTTTAGACTAAAGTCAAGGATTTTTCAGCTTCTCATGCCCAGCCAGTGAGAAAGCTGGAGGGGCACAAGAAGTTGGCACAGGACACAGCCAGGGCACCTGACCCAAACTGGCCAACGGTGTATTCCATACCATGGGACATCCCATCTAGTATAGGAACTGGGAAGTGGGGGCGGGGAATCGCCACTCGGGGACTAGCTGGGTGTCGCTTGGTGGATGGTGAGCAATTGCCCTGCGCATCATTTGTACATTCCAATCCTTTTATTACTACTGATGTCATTTTATTAGTGTTATCATTATCATTATTAGTTTCTTCTTTTCTGTTCTATTAAACCGTTCTTATCACAACCCACGAGTTTTACTTCTTTTTCCCGATTTTCTCCCCCATCCCACTGGATGGGGGGGAGTGAGTGAGCGGCTGCGTGGTGCTTAGTTGCCGGCTGGGGTTAAACCACGACACTTTTCTTATTAATGTTCTAACCCCATACAGCAAAAACTTCCAAATAAAATATAACTTTCAAGGTTGAAGATATCCCCTTAATATTTGTATTCAAAATGTCATGGAAACAAAAAAAATTAAACTGACACAGAGAACGCTAGAAGGGCCCATCAGCCTGTTTACCCTAGCAGACCTACTCCCACAAATCACCAACAGGATCGCCAAATTACTGAACACCTCTAGTAAATGAAACGTCACATGCAATATCAATAAAGTACAATAATATTTTATTCTGAGCATGCAAGAAGAAGGACCCGTCTCCTCCACCTTCTGCATCTGGTTTAAAGGAGTTAAATCACACAAGTTCCAGAAGTGCCAAAGTGAATCTGCCTAGTCAAAAGCAGGGAATGGAAAGCGAGCTCGTTCTTTCTGACAGTGGTGAGCTCGCTACTCATGGAACTGCACTCTCATTACAATACTACTCCAGTCTTTAAATTTCTATCAAATAAACCTCCCTTGTGAAAGCAGCTCTGTTTCATAAAAAAGGAAAACCATGACCTTTTACTAGCATGAGAGACTACAGGCAGTACTATTTCTACAGCATCATAATCAACATGTATCACATTTACACATTAAAACAGCTTAGCACTTACAATCCAATTGCTCAGGACAGAGAGTGGACATACAATCAGTGTTGCTCTGGGGCCATCATCAGAGTACTTCTTCTCAACACATTGAATGCCAGCAGTACCTGAGGAAACAGAAATCATATTTAGTGGCATAACAGTTCACTTTAAAGCAAAGTAGTTAAAGAAACTTATGTTTCCCTGAAGTCTTTTCTAAATTTCTTCACCTGAACAGCATCAAAGCAATTTACAAAGATATCAGCTTCATTTATTAAGTCAAATATGTATAATATTTCAGCTTCAAAGACGCAGAAATTAATATTAATCTGTTTATTCCTTCATTACCTTTTCTTTTTGTTTGTCTTTTTAAACAAGTAGATGAAGGTAGAAGAACAGATGCAAAGCCTGTATCTTCTTGGACAACACAGGAAGTTGCTGCAAAAAGCCAAACAAACATAGATTTTTCACACCATGCAGAGCATATGCATGCATTTATTTTTATGACACATTTCATAAAAGTCAAACCTGTTAACCAAATTACTTCTCCTCTCCAATACAATAATGTAGAATATCTCGAGTTGGAAGGGACCCATAAGGATCATCGAGTGCAACTCACTGCTCCTCGCAGGACTACCTAAAACTAAACCATATGGCTAAGAGCATAGTCCAGACACTCCTTGAACCCTGACAGGCATGTGTGCAAAAATATAGTATCTTATACCTCTATTTCAGGTTATGAATCTTCAGAGGAATGCAGTTTACCAGTCATTTAAAAAAATAGATAAAAAATAGTTTAGCATAAGTTTCACTCCAAGTACTTTAAATGTAAACTTAACTGCTTACTCCAGAGTACCTGTAGCCCTTCATTTTTTTTCCATGCAAGATACTTAGTTCAACAAATGACGCGTTCTTACCTCTTCACGATCATGTTTTAGGTATTTACCACAAAAGATGGACTTAATTTTTAAGGTTTTTTTTCCAACCCTAGCGCACTGACAACAAAACTCTAAAAATCTTCACAATTCTGTATTTCACCATCCATTTGATGCTCATAGCTTGTTACACCACCATTAGTTCAAGTAGGAAACAAACTACAACACTTAGTCCTAAAACATTGCTTTCCCATTCAGCAATTTCTAAAATTTTCTGCTTAAAGCTTTGGTTGAATAAAAACAAAACAAAACAAAAAACCCAAGTAGTTTAGTCAATTCCTTTCTCAGTTAGTTAGAAAGCCTTTTCAGTTTGGCTTCAGAAAGGAAGACACCACGTGTCACAGTAACCAATTAAAAAAAAAATTCCTTGCAACTTACTTTCTGTTTGTTGCAGTAGCCATTCTTCAGACTCTCCCAAGTGACTGCTTCCTGAATATCTGGGTTTCTTGGCTTTCTCTCTAACATATTGTCATTAAGAAAGAAAAAACAACAACCACGAACCAAACCAAAAAAAACCCCACAACTCTACTACTGCTTGAATTTACATATTAAATCTCAAGAGCATAAAGCAAATGAACTTGATATTTCAAATAAGATACCACTGTGGTTTGAAAATTTTCTCTTTTGAAGGGTTAGAAAATGGAAAGCACAGAACACAGAGCTGCAAGGTGAATGATGCTCATAAAACTTGGTACAGATTATCACTGTAGTTCACACCAATTATAAGACGACGCTGATGTGGTGGGAAGGTTAAAACACGTTAGTAAGCTTCACAACTTCCATCAGCTCAAAGCTGTCTGTCAGAAGCATGCCTGCAAAGTATTTCTTAACCACTTAAAAAACCCAACTGATCCTAAAAGAAAGATTATTTCCCAGCCAGTTTTTTAGATGCCACACACTGATGTTATTAGACATCTTAACTACTGAAGGAGACATCCAAGCATGCATTCATGCAAGCCACATAGAATGAGTTAATGCTTTTTTAATATATTCCAAAGTGCAACACAGATACAGAATGCTTATGATAAATGTAAGCAGATGTATAGCATACTGAAAGGTGAAGAGTGAGCAGGAATGCATTTTAGGCTCAGGTTAATCATAACAAAGTACCACTTTATTTTTACTCAAAATCTACGTAGCAAAGCAACAAAAAGAAAATTATTAATTCCAGCTATCTACCTTTTTGGAAGACAACTTGAGTATTTCAACGGAGTAGTTTCAAACTTTTTTATGTTAGAAACACCAGGCTCCATCACATTGCTAGAGTCTTCATAAAGAAGAAATTGGTATTTAAGAAAAATATACATAGTCTTCAGCTTGGTTATCAAACCAACTTTAGCATAACTTGATAAGAACAAGTACAAACGTCCTTTAAAACAACCTTTGTTCTGCATGGGACAAGTACTAACTGATACTGAGATCACAAATGAAAAATAAAAAATACTCTTAAAACAGTCTTAAATATTTACGACATCATCAAACATGTACTGAGTTTGCAGGTGGTCAAAAACTGTCAAGAAGATGAAATACCAAATGTAAGCACTGTACTGTTAACAGCAAAGGTAAAGGTCTATAAAGAAGCTTTAAATAATGCTAACGGTGAGGGGGTTTTCTATATGGGTCAAACCTTACTAATTAATGATTTCTACATTGCCTAAAGCTAAATGGGTAAAAGCAACGTTAACAGAAAAAAATGTGGTAGCATCACAGATACACGTGGGGGTTTTTGGGGGGCAGGAATAATACCAAATCAGAAGCAAATGCAAAAAAGAAAACGCATTAGGACAGAGTTGATATCAAAACTGAAAGCAACAGCGCTTGCAGAAAGAGTTTTACTATAACTCAGGTAAGTAAATTCATGCTTGAATTCCCAATTTAAACTTCAGTAAAGACTTCTTTTTTTTAATATTAAAAAAAATGTTTAATACTATTCTGAAGATGGCAAAACTTGCAAAGACTCAAGATGTAGGTATCAATTTAATATACAATAAAATGAGAAATAGGGCCAGGGTGAGGTGCAAGGGTCTGAAAGACATTATCATCACTTTTTCAGATTAAGCAATAGTAGAAACAGGCTCTCCCCTCACTGCTGTAAATAGTATCTTGTTAAAATGCTTGATGTTCTGGAAAATAAATAAATAAATATCTTGGCTGCTGCTAGGCATTTCAGCTTTGGTAAAGGTTCTGATTTTCTGGTGACAGTCATATTGATCCCCACGAAAGTCTGCATTTTCTCCCTTCCAGAGTACTGATAAAAATAACTTTCACCAGAGGCAGTTCATACTAATGTGTTCTCTACTTATCAGTCCCTTTCATTTCTCTTGTGCTATCAGTTAGGCCATCTGTATTGAAATTCCTTGCGCGAGAGAACAGTGAGGGAAAGTTACTCAAGAAAACTTCAAGCCCCATAGATTTCTTCAGTCATTTTCGAGAGCACGATGAGTTACAAAACATACTAATAGCACGTATAATTTTTCATATACATCTATAAATTCTCCTGATACAACCTAAAAACTACAGGTGTGATAAAATCCTTCTAAATACTTGTCATTTGCTCATTACTTAAAAATATATATATATATATAAAAAAGGCGACTTAATACAGAACCTAATTACAATTTAACTATTAACATTACTATTTAAACAAATATGATTCTAACAGATGCATAGAATGCTCCTGTTTTGTCTACAAGGAAGGAAAAAGGAATGCAAAAGAAAACCAGGATCCATTTTCTGGATGTGGTAACTTTCCTGGCAGGGTGCAACTTTCTCACAAGGCACTTCATCTTCTCACATGTCAACTGAAACATCTGTAAAAGTATGTTTTAAATACTTCTCTGAGATAACTTACGTTTGTCAAGAGTTTGTGAAGACTGGTACTAACCACAGACTAAGAGTACCCTAGGTAGTAACATTAATTATCATGCAAACAGTACTGGACTTTTCATAGTTTGCTGTCACCTTTACATAGTCTGCGTCCAACGCTGTTCATGCTGTTAGTACCAGATTCCTATTGAGGAATGGAAACTTTTATTCTTTAATGTAGCAACAGGAAAAAATGCCAATAACATCATTATGCTAATCTGACCAGTGATTAATTACTGCTCTGAAATATGAAAAAGACTTGCTCAGTGGCAAATCAGACAGTCACTTAAAGATGCTGAAAAAGCTATACTTTTTTTTTTTTTTTTTTAATAGCCACATACAGAGTTCAAATGAAACTGTAGAGGCAGAGGAGAGAAACTCAGTCTACACAGCTACCCTAGAAAGAAAACACACTAATGATTTCCCAGTTAACATTCTGAGGTCAAACACAAAGCATTATTTTGTTAAATTTAGACAAGTATGGCAAAACAAAACAAAACCCCCAATCTTAATGCTGTCAGGGGTAATAAATCACCTAATCCTAGCATTTAGTTGATTTCATCGTCTTGAAAATCATGTCATAACGAAAGCAAAAAGCACTTAACTGCAATACCTAAGAAGAGTTTGCACATTGGTGTTAGTTCACTAACTGTAGTTTCCTCTCCCCTCTCCATTTCAAGCATCTGGCAAAAATATAAACTGAGATTTATTTATTTACTTTATACCAAGACCCTCTGCTGGCTATTTTGGTTGTTTCAGGCACTTCCTCCAAACCACAGAGGAACAACACATGCACACCCCCAGAAAAAACACCACTTCTATTTGTGCAGTCACAATTTGCCTACAGGAGAAATTCATAAGAAATTTAAGAATTTACAAAACTTAACAATGAAAATGCCTTCATAAATTCTTCCTTGGAATACGCTTAAGCATACCATCCTAAGATAACACAGTCTACACCTCAGTTACACACTCTGAAGTAACACAGTCCACCTACCTTCAACTAGTCTACCCTATCCTTCCTCTTATTTGATGTACTTGAATAACTTTTTCTACAAGATTTATACAAAGTTTACCATACAGAAAGTTACTAGGTTGTAGGCACAGGTTTTTTATTAACTGCTACATTAACTCTATTAAAGCAACCTTTTCCTTTCATCTCACCTCATAAAACTTATCACTTGTGATCTTTTCAACAGGAAGAGGCTTGCTATCTTGAAAATTTGTGAGAATCAATGCAATAGTAGTAAGCGTTTTACCCTGCATAACAGAAAAGAATATTATATTTTCCACAGATTAAAACGAAACAAATGACCAACCAATCAAGAAACACACACACGTTTTGCACAAAAAAAATTCAAGCTTGGTAAGTATTATTACCAGTCCCATATCATCAGCCAGTATTCCTCCAAGAACATTTTTAGGTCGCTTCTTTTCTGCAAAGTTTGTAAGTATATTGTAGTAGAAGTTACTTCTCTCTTCCCAAAAGGGTGGCAAATCATTACTGTTCTCACGTGAAACCATCCAAGCTAAAGCCTGCTTCTGATGGGGAAGCAAGGGTGTGCCAACAGCCTGCAAATTGAACAGATACGTTATGCACTATTTGCCTATTAAATATGACATTCCATTTTTGGAAGAAAAATTTTTTTTATAGAGTCCTTTGTATCTACTATTTTTTTTTCTGATTCAAGCATCTCCTATGTCCAGAAAAAGCTAAATGTGCTTCTAGATGCTTAAGTATTTATATTTCTATAGAAAACGGTTTCTAGCTTAAGAAATACCTCTGCTCCTTCCATTTCACAAGTTTTATCATCTTCCTTCAGATCCTCAAACAATTTGTCAAATTCACTTTTGAGCTGCATAAATGAACACAAAAATTGCAATTAAAATTATTGCAATTAAAAATAACCTCAGTAAATAATCAATAACTATTAAATTACAATTACCTGTCATATGATGATCAGTATAGATAGGTCTACCACTTTAGGACTCATTTGCTGGAACATGTTCATTAGCTACTGCTATACAAAAACTACGTTCAGTTTTCCCCAAGACAAACACATGCCAATACAAGCAAGGGCTTGAGAAGGGATGGCTAAATATATTCACATCCTTGTACAACACTCAGTAAAGTAATTACTTCACTCTAAAGAGCAGACAAAAAGCAACATAAAAAAAAACCCCACCTCCCAACCCTTCAGGTATCACCTTGGGTCAAATCTGAAGATAAAGTCTGGAAGTCAGATTTTATTTGCATTTGAGAACTTAACATACTTGTTATCTGGTAAAGCATTAGGACAGAGAAAAGAAAACACACCACCACAACAACGTAAAAAAAATTACCGAACAACCAAAACCTCCCAAAGTTACATGGGACTCAAGGCTGTCACAGCTAAAATGTCTCCTTACATTATAAAAATGAAAAAGTTCAAAAGTTCAAGATGACTTCAAAGCAAATCCGTGGTTCAGAAAAGGGAAAAAAAAATAAGTGACAGACTTCCACTTCACAAGCAGTGTTTTATTAGTGAAAAAAGTTAAAAGGCCCCCACTGTTAAAATTCCGACTTCCTGGTGTTTAAGTATGAAATGCAAACCTGTTCAGTTGTCAACTGCACAGCAGCATGAACCGGAGCACTGTAACTTGGACCAGCTCTCCCAGAAATCCACTTTGATCCAAAACCACATTCTGAACCTACTTGCCATTAAAAAGATAGTATTTTGAAACTCAACGGTACGATGACTTCCCAATCTCAGCCTTCACTGGCTCATCAGTAACAATACTAATCAGATTGTGGGCTATAAGACAGTATCTTTCACCATTTGTCTTTTAGCCTCAATTTATCCTTTACTTTCAATGGGCCACAAAGGCTCTCCACAAAGCTGCATGACACTCACAGGCAATGAGCTATGGGTTGGGATCCTTTGAGATGGTAACCATGTTTCTTAAAAATTGTTGTCTTACATGAAATTTGACTTGGTAACAGTATGATGACTGATGATGCAAAAGGCTTTTTTACTCCAAACTCTTTTTCTGTTAACTATGCACAATAGAACCTGTAAGCTAAAACCTGAAATCCTGCTATATGTAAAACAGATCTGTCCCTCACCAAGTGTTAATTTCTGCACGCATCCTTATTCCTGACTACCACTGCTTCAACAACGCCTAGTTTCAGGAGCTCAGGTGCTTTTTGTGCGAGGCTAGCTCTGCAAAGCATCAGGTCTGGTAAGCTTATATGTTCAGAGAGACACCTCATCTCTATTTGCTCACACCTCACTAGTAGGATACATGTCCTAGCACGCTGCTAAAAAGCAGCAATGTCCCTGAAACCCTCATCCTATGAAAGGGTCTAACCTGTTTCTTAAAAAAAAAAAAAAAAAAAAATCAGTTTAGAGAAATGCAGGGTATCATTACGGATTTTTAAGAAACATAAGGAATTGAGCAACAGAACCTCAGAAACAGACGTTGCTCAAATGCCTCTGCAATTACTGGCAGGTAACATAAAAGGCAGGACACTGAAGTATACTTCCTATGAAGTTTAAAATTAATAGCTGTGGGCTCTGCATTATTCCACAACTAAGTGAAAAAATCGTTTTGTGAATAACAAGACTATGACAAGGTTTAAGCCCTAAAACATTAATTCCAACCAGTGGCAAATTCAATCTGAGTATTTTAAAAAGGAAAAAACCCCAAAACTTCACAACTTACCTTTCAGAGGAGGAGCCAATTTAAATCCGTGCCTTTTTAGCTGATCTAGCACTGCTTCCTTGTTTTCTTCTCTTCCCCAAAAGCTCATTTGTACAGGCATGGTAAAGGCATTTTTTGCTCCATAAGGGACAACCCTGATAAAAAGCAAGGAAAAAACCCACAGCAGTAATCTTTTGTTTATTTTTTTTATTGTAAACCTTGTTTATTTCTTCAGCAAGAGGTACTCCAAAGTGCTTACTTTCATCAAAGCACAGAATGTTCCAGATAAGTGTTAAGTACTCATAGTGTGTAAATCTTTTATAACAAACCACCACAGACAGTTAATTTAAGAGTTCCACAAGAATCTTTAAGGAATTTGCTTTCACTAGTGTGTCTACATTTTATCATATACGGGAAAGACTAAACTGTGTGCAAGTAGTTCATCAAAAGAATAGAGTCTAAAAACATGATGCTTTAATCATATTACCAAGCACTGTCATTTCTGTCAAAAGAGAACACTTACAGTTTTCAGAATTTGCTAGCATAGCAACAAAAACCATTTCCATTATTTATATTCATGGAACCAAAAGCGTAATCTTCACACTTACCCTTCAATTAATGCTAGTTTGTTGTCCATAATGCCTGCCAATGCTGCCGCTAGTTCTTTTTTTATATGGCCTACCTGGTCTCCATTCACATTATTTACTTTCACTGCATTTTTATCATAAGGATTATTAGGCTCCCTCTGAAGTGCAACCATTTCATTGTTATTAACCTAACAAAGCAAAACAAATGCCAGAACACATTCATTTAGTTGCAAATTGTTTGCAGAAATATCTAACATACGCTTACTTAAATATCATGAAACTTAAAGATTAATTTGGTATAGCATTCTGTTGTCAGTCTAATAACCTACTACTTATTCAAGATACCAAAAGCATTACAGAACAGCTACCTGATACATGTCAGCAATTTCTGAGCAAGAACTGCTAACACATTTTGTAAGGAAACAAACATCCCTTTTTGTCCATGAAAACAGTTCAAAGACCTAATTTCTTGTTTTCAGTCACTTTCATTAGCCTTCTGTGGGTGAGCAGAGCTACCAAATAACTAAACCAGATTTGAAAGCTTGCTACCTTAACTAAATTTTGAATTAAAGTTTTAGATTAAGTACTTCCTGTGAAGAAGGTTGAATACAGCAAGTTAAGAAAAAAAAATAATTATACTTGGTCAAAAGTTCTAGGAATTTTTGAAATTGAATTAAACTTTTTTTTTCTGAGGCTGACAACAACTTTTTCTTCTGCTTTATAATTTATCATGCACTTACAATCCCCGTGTAGTATCGTAATCCAACAACACTTCCTCGCAAGGTTCCATATAAGATAGCCAAGTCTGTATCCTCCTCTGCTCCAGAAGTGTCGCCTACAGAGAGGAAGTCTTCCAACCCAAGACTGGAGTAAAAGTCAGGAGAGGAAAACCGGGAGTAGTTTCTCTCTCCTCTGCAGATGTTATACTGACAGTATCCTCTTACAGAATCTCTACAGAAAGAAAAGTGTGAAATATCTGACAATTACTTTAATAATAGAATTATTATTTCCTTGTAATCTCTTTTACTCTTTATATAAGGCTACCTATAAATGCTGGTTTTACAACTTTATTCAGATAATATTTACCTGGAAACATTCAAAAAAAGTTTTATATTAGGAGAAAACTTTTGTCTACCATTTTTTAATCCCAAATAAATTAGTTTAAGCCAATTACAATAAAGAGCTGACAATTTAACTGACTAAACTACAGTATCTGTGCATTCTGCCCTACCTTCCCTCTCTGTCAACAACATTAAGAATTCTCCAGATGTAGTTACATCTCTAATTATACCTGGCACAGCAAAATTTCCATGCATTTTCCTAACACCAATTTTTCCTCATCTAAGAAAAAGGTTAAAAAAACCCCTCTTTGTAACTGATAACTCTGTATAACTTCATCCCTATATCCGCAAAAGTTGAAATGCTAAAACAACTGTTCCCTACATATTTCTTAAGCTTACCTTCACATCTTGACATCTATTACTAATAGTTCATAATAAAGTTGAGAGAGAATCAGCTACTCCAACCCAACCTGGGTAATTACACTATGTATCTCTAATACAAACTGCCGTCTGCCAGGTTCCCCTTTTGGTGAAGGGATGCACCTAGTAACTCATGTTATTGCACACGGAGAGATGGAAACATCTCTGGCCATGCATTTAATGCGTGTTTGAGTGAAGACCGACATACTAACAACTGTTTTTATCAAGTAGTACGTAACAATAAAATCTCAATACAAATTTCAGCTGATATATAATAATAATGACCTTTGGTACATCCCCAAACTATCCTCCTATGTTGCTGGATTAATTTAAGAATACTGTGATTTAAAAATAATTAGTTTCCATATTCTAGTTATTCAGAGCTTAGCATAGTAAGCTTTGGTTCCTTTTGCAAACGGTATCTAAAGTTAGTTAAACACTGTATAATCGGCATTCCGTTTTCTCCGACAGAAAAGAGACACCGTTTAAGAGGCTTTGCTCCGAACTAATTGCAGATGAGCCAGCGAGGGGTTAACCAGAAGCCATTTTGCCACTGCGCTGCGGCAGGCCTCTCGGGAGCCCCGCCGGAACGCAGAAGCCACCCGAGCGGCCTTGGCGCCCAGCGCCGACACAAACAGGGCGGCGGAGACTCCGAGCTTCTACGCGAGCCACCTCCGCTCACCCCGCCGCCC